TATATGATACAGGGTTTGGTTTTTGTCACTGTGCTTTGCTTGAAGCAGTTCATGATGAGTTGTGCTAGATAAGTTCTCTACAGTGTGTGCTGAAAGCCTTTGCTGCTGCTGTGTGAGCTCAGTGAATGCACCAAGGGCTACTGTATTTCTATCAGTTTTGGGGACATGAACATAAAATCATAAAGACTGTTGAGCTTTCCACTCCTGAAATGATTTCCGGGTTTTGTATGTTCAGAGGGATTTGGATATTTAACATATTTCAACAGCATTAGGAAAGAAGGCGAGGCTAAGATGGGAAGCAGTGCTGCAATCCACACCATCTCATCCCAGTTCCCCCACCGCGCTCCAGAGGGTGAGGTGCCCCCCTCTTTAAGCCAACATAAATCTTGGCTGCTACAAGCCCACCCTCCTCCTTGGTTTCTGACCTCCTCCTTTTGCAGCATGAGCACTCACATTACTGCATGGCAGATGGATTTGAAGAACTAATCTGTCTGTAAGCTAATCTTTGTTCTTTTGAGAGATAATTTTTGCTGGATTCCTGAACTTCATGTACCAGCTTCCCACGTGATCACCAAGGTTCTGGGGCTGACTCAACAGGGACACAGACCCATGGCAATCCAGACTTCAGATGCACTAACCCCATACATATTTTCCTCCATTTTCAAGTATTACATTTAGTTGATGCCTGTACTATTTGCATTTTGGAATCGCTCAATTGTGGTGTTCATTTACAAGCAAAAAGACAAAAAGGATAAAACCCCCATGAAGTCAAACAAAGGCCTTCCCTTTGCTCAGAAATAACCTATCATCCACAGTTCAGTGGCTAGAAACACCTTTGGTTACAATGTGGTTTTCCATACAAACAGAGAACAGCCTAGGGTAGCCTAGTGGTTAGAGATTAGGACTTCTAACTCTGGACTTCTATTTCTGGTTTTGCAAGGGACTTTTGCAACCTCCAGTCATAGGCTAAAATTTCTTCTGGTGACATTGCTGACCCTCTTGCAAACAAACAGAAAGTGTTTATTTAGTTTGCAGAATCTACGGGCGTAGTTAATAAATGCCTAGATAATGCCATAAAACACAGTGATGATCTCTGGAATCTACAGATCTAAGTTTCAATTGTGATATTCAGCCTGGTTTCCTGAGAGGCAGACAACCACCATGGGCATGCTTTCTCCAGACCCCAATCACCCAGTCAACACAGTCTCTTTGTCCACCACATGCTTTTTGAGCCCATGAAAACACTGAAAGGCAGATCATGTCAGAGTGACTTGAAGGACAAAGTAGTCACAGGGAAATGTGCCTCAGGCACATCCTCTTCCCTGAACTGCCCCTGGCATTTGCAGCCACACTGCCTTTCAGTAAACAAGGGTCTACAGGAAATACAGCTACACATTACCCCAGCAGGCTGTTGCACTGTAATTTTCCCTTTGGATCACTGGTCTGTGAGGCAGTTGGGTCGGGTGGGTTCATCTAAGGCTCTTTTTTTGTCTACCAACCTCCAGGGAGACTCAGACTGAGTTACTGTCAGTCTACTGTGGCAGGAGGGTACCTGATACCCACCACTACTAAGCTCAGGTCTGGAGATCTTTGTCTTGTGTGTTCTTAAGCATTAAATTAATTCCTTTCTGCTGTCTTGCTCCTTCTGAAATCATTTACTCATGAGTAAGCCCTGCTAAGCCTGAAGTCTCTGGAGTCTCACAATGACATTTGCATTTTATATCTGCTCCCAAAGGTGTGAATGACTGCAGCAGAAGATAAAGCATAAATCCCTGATGGTACCATATAGCTGTGGTGCCATACAGTAGAGTGTAGTTCTGCAGGAATGCACAGTAGATTCATGTTTGATTCTGAATGTTTAAAAAAGGTGGTTAGATCCAGATCTACAGATATATTGAAATATATTCTCCTTACTGAAATTAAGTATAAACTGGGTACCTAGGTGTATGGACTTCATTTTGCTATGTGTAGTTATGATAAATAATTTCCAAGTTTCTGAATACAAGTCACAATGAAACCTATAAGACTGAAATGGGAGCCTTAGTGTGTTGGGGATGCCAATGCACAGAAATAAAAATTGTCCTGTGTTTTCCTTCCTCGTGTTTACATTTGAAAGTTTAACTTCAATACAGCCTTGCAAGTCATTTTTCTAACTGTATGTTTGTATTCTTGGAAATGTGATAGTGTTTGCTCATCAGCTTCCTATCTCGAAACACGTTAGGGCTGGAAAACATGTGCCAATACACTCCCTGGTGCGTTCCAGTTCTCTTACTGAATAGATCACTCTGACAGACTCTCCTTCACACTTTGAATTGTTTTTTCCAGTGCCGTCAGCTTTCTAAAATGTGCCACACCATCATACTTATGCCAGAGTGCAGAGAACCAGCTTTTTTTTGGACAGGAGAGAGAAGTGAGGAAAACTTATGAAAAACCCAGGATGATAAATAAGTAGGTCATAGTTTCTTTTTCACTCACACCTGCACCTTAGTGGTGTTTCAAACCTCCGAGAAGTTGTTTGTGATGCACACATTTGAGTACAAGAATGGTGAAAGGAGTATCTGAGGATTATCAAAGCCCCACTGCAGTGTCACTGTCTCATACAGCTAACCTAAAATAACATGGCATCAGCATGGTCAAAATGGAAAGGAAACATCTGTTTCTCCTTTTTATGTTAGTGACAATCTGTTTGTTAGCTTTAGAATAGCACAGGCTGTCCCACTGATAACAGCCGGGGCTCTAGCTGTTCTGCCCAGGCAGGTGCATGGGGAACCCAGGAGCAGACTAAGAACAGGTAACGTGAGGGGCTGTCCTTAGGATGAACTCCAGATTGAAAAATCTTTTTCTTTATCACTTTTTTTCAAAATTAATAAGGCAGATTCTTCTAAATCTGGTGTGACTGTATGGATGCATGCTGATTGACTGATCACTAAGCCCAGTGAGCAGTACAATCTAACTGCAACCCCACTTTTCCCTGGCACTGTGTGTGCTGCTTCCCAGTCTTCCTTTTCTAACTATCGCTGAGTATTAACTGAAGTAAAGGTCACTGAAGTAAATGGACAGATTTCCAGGGACTTTAAAGAAATGAGATCAGATCAGTCATGACGTTTAACAAAGAGAAGTGCTGGATTCTGCACCTGGGACGGGGCAACCCTGGATGCATGTACAGACTAGGGAACAAAAGGTTGTTTTGAACAGCACTGCAGAAAAGGACTTGGGGGTCTGGTCAATGGTAAATTGAATATGCAGCCTTACCTCGATTACTGTGTGCAGTTTTGGGCACCACAATATAAGGAAGATATAAAGCTATAAGGGAGTATCCAAAGGATGGCTATGAAGGTGGTGGAGGGCCTAGAGGTGAAGCCATATGAGGAGCATCTGAGGTCACTTGGCCTTTCAGCCTGGAGGAGACTGAGGGGACACCTCATTGCAGTCTACAACTTCCTTGTGAGGGAAAGTGGAGGGGCAGGCTGCCCTCAATCACACAGTTGTTTTTGCAAAGAATCAGCTTGTAGCTAGATTAGATGTCTTCATCACTAGTTCCAAAAAGCCAATAGGAAAGAGGAAACTGTGAAAGTGATGCTGCTGAAGATTAGCAGAAGGCTGGCTAACTGCTTTTTAAAAACATTTTTTTCCGATGTACAGCTTTGTCTATATACACATCATGGTGACATCCAAGGCCTAAAGCAAATACAATACTCTATTTAATGTTCCTTTCAAAATGTTTTGTGTAAGGTCTGACATTTTTCCCATGGTTAATCATGAAACTGGGCAGTGTTTCTTACAGTTCCTTGTACTTTACTCATGAAAAACATTCATCCGTTTAAATGGTATGATTAAGGGGAGCAGAGTTGGGGCCAAAAAAGGAAGCAAGCAAAGGAAAAAGGGATGTCTCCAATAACTTCTATTGGAATATGGAGCCTTTCACTTAAAATCTGGTTTAAATCAGTAGCTGCTGAAACTTGTTACCAGAAAAAGGATGGATCCTTTTGTGCAGGCCCCAGTGTTGAGACTTGCAGTCCCTCAGTAGCTCCACAAGTGAACATTGCATGGGTTGCATTGCTCATGACTCAGTTTCTCAGCACCTCCGAACGATGAAGTCACCATCTGTTTTGCAAACCTTGTGAAGGAGAAACCCCAACCTCTGCAGTTTAGTACCCTGTAGGAAGCATATATGGGGAGAGAGAGCTATCTGACAGCCTTGTGAACTGAGGTCATTTACTTCAATGTCTGTGGACAGACATTCAGAGCACAGTCATCACTGACATGATGGAGCAGTATGGGCTAAATTTTTTTACTACTACACAACTTGGGGGGGTCCAGAGACAAGTCTGCAGGTACTTATATCTTGACCTCTCAGGGTAAGGCTTTAGCATCAGTCAAGCGCTGACACCTGACGGCGGGTGTCCAGCGGCCAGGAGCACAGCAGGAAGCTGTGCCTGCACACTACCGGTACCCACTTGGCCCCGGTGCACGATAAGGTTTAGCAAGTGTCCCCTAGCGGTTTTCCCCGTCTGGGGAGCGGCAGCCATCCCTCCTGCCCGCGGGCTAGGGGCGCCTGATCGAGAGGGATGGGGGAAAGGAAGGAGGGGAGACGGAGGGAGGGAAGAAGGCGCCCCCTTCCTCTTTTCCCCCGCCGCGCACCCGGGCTCCTGGGATGTGGTGAGTCACAAGCAGGTCAGGACCGCGCCGGAGGGGCGGAGGGAGCGCGGGGACCGGCTGATTTACCGCTGGGAGCCGCCACGAGCGCGGCGGAGGCACCGGAGGGAAAGGCGCGCAGAGCCGCCCCGCAGCCCAGGTGCCGTGCGGGACAGAAGGACGCCCCTGCCCGCCGGGGCGCGCCCCCAGGTAGCGCGGGGCCGGGGGGAGGGTGAGTCTGCGAGGCGGAGGGGAGCGGCAGAGCAGCGCGGGGCTGCGGAGGTGCGCCGGGCTGCGCCCCGCTCTGCCCCGCCCGCCCGGGCTGGGCCGGCTGCCGGTCGAGGACTGCGGAGCCAGCCCAGCCCAGCCCAGCCCAACCCGCCGGGGAGCAGCGCTCGCCCCTCCGGCGGCGGTGCCGGCGCGCAGCCCGCTCCGCTCTGCTCCGGTAAGGACCGGCAGCCGCGGGGAGGACGGGGCGAGCAGGGCGACGCGGGGAGCGAGATGAGCCGGGAGCGGGGGAAGGACGGGCACGGTGCTATGTTGTGCCCCGCCCGGGAACTTCGCGGGAGCGCGGCGGCGCCCGCGGCCGCCCGTGCTGCCCTGCCCGGGGCAGGCGGTCTCCGCGCCGGGCCGGGCTCCGCGGGGCAGGTAAGCGCCGTGCGGGGCTGCGGCGCCGGCTCGCCCCTGCCCGGCCGGGCTCCGCGGGGCGCTCGCACCCGGGGACGCCCGCGACGTCGCTGCCGCGGGCAGGGCAGGGCAGGGCGGGCAGCGCTTCCCGGGCTGCGCTCCGCGGGTAGAACGAGCAGCGGTTCCCGGGATGCTGTCCGCAGCGGCCCCTTGGCCGCGGGTTGAGCCGCTGCCTTCCTCGCCCCTCCCCGCTTCGCGGGCCGGGGCTTGCGGAGGAGCAGCGTCCGGCAGCGCAGCCTGGAAGTTCCAGCTCGGTGGCCCTAAGGTGTGGGTTTGTGGTGGCCGGTCCGGCCGTCTTCCGTGAGGCGCAGGTCTCGGGGTGAGCCTGCAGGATTCTCCAAGCTAGGCATGTGTACTTTATGGTTGTGTGGCGTTCACAGTCTTCCATGCGATTTGGCTGCTTTTTTTCCTTTTTCTTTTTTTTTTTTTTTTGTCATTTTTTGAAGCAGAATTTGCTGCAAATGATAAACAATTTGCTCCATATAATGGCATTCCACCACGGTTTCCATGTAAGCATTAAATTAGATGGTCTTTGTTTTTATAAATACTGAATGCACTCCTTAGAAATTAAGTTTTGCACATACATCTTAAAATAGGGATTAATAATCAAGTAGCAGTGTTGTTTAGCAAACTGTGCATGTGTAATCCGCAGGGGGTTATTCAAGCTGCAGTGCATGCTTTTCCCTAAGAACCTGTGCCTTGTGTGGTAGTTCATTTGCTTTCATCCTACAGGTGCTTTTTACATTATCCAACATCAAAAAAGAGGACAGTGTCTCTTTTTTATTGTCTCTTTTTCTTCTTTTTTTTTTCTTTTTTTTTTTTTTTTTTGAGATCTGAGAGGTTCGGATTCATAATCATGCAAGATAAAGTGTCTCACATGTTTCTCAGAGAGCTGGTTAAATGTTTACAGATCAGACACTGTGAGAGCAAAAAGCTAGCCTTTGGCCGAGCTGCATGTTGAAAAAAAAGTAACTTAGAGAATGACTGTATTGCTTGTTCTTTGTGCCCTAATCCTTCGTCAGCACTGTATGATTCTTCTTCTAACTGTCTTCTAATACAAACTGAATCATTTGGAAAATGGAATATTTTGTAAAAGATTCATTTCTTTATTTATAGAAAAGAGACTCAACTTCTGTGCCTTTTTGGTGGAGAGGGAATGAATTGTCTTTCTTTATTATCATGTAAGGCTTTTCTTTTTTTTTTTTTTTTTTTTTCTCTTCAAAGGGTAACCACTGCATAGGGGTTCTTTATTGGTAAACTAAATTGCACATGTTGTGGCTGGAGAGTGGTTTGTAGAGGTCGTTTGCTCTGGTGGAAATGGATGGGAGCTCACTGAGTCAGGGCAAGGCAGCCAGAAAGCCAAAATTCAGCAGAGGTTCAATGAAAGGCTTATGAATGCAAAACTGAGTGGCAAATGTTGTCCTCCCAGGACTGCCTTTCTCAAGCTGATTTTCCTGTATTTGTGGTTTTCTGGTACCTCAGCTGATGATCTTTAGCCTCTTCCAGCTGGTCCAATGCAGTTGAGGGGGCCAACCCACCTACTTTTATTCTTACATGATCTGCAGGTACCTGCTCTGTATTTTTCAGCTCAGATGAGAAATCCAAAGCCTGCTGCCTCCCAAATCTGGCTTCCAGAACTCCAGAGACTAACTGGCACAGCTGGCTGTAGTACAAGAGCAGCAAGCAGCCTTGCCTTCACCGCCGCAAAGGGAACCTGATGCCGGCAGCATGCTGTGCTGGGATAGCCAGAGAGCCAGAGCTGCAGCAGTGGAGTCCCAGAGCACTGGGTGATCTGCTTTGTACCACGATTGCTTTGTGGTGGGGATTTGTCTAGACTTTCTTTGCTTTAGGCAGAAAGCAAGGAGAGGTTCTGCATCTCCATCTGTGTTTGTGGAATATCTAGCTTGGGGATATATATTTCCCAAGGGAAATCCTGCTTGGGCTCTCTCAGTACTACATACCATTTCTTGAACAAGGAAGTGATAGGGTAGCTGAATAGTTTTCTCTGAAACTACAGAAACACAAAACTCAGTAGGAAGTTACAAGGATCTGTTTGGTGCAAAGGAGAAGGAATGGGTTGCACTGTGTGAAAGGAAACTTCAAACACACCTTCCTAAGATTTTGGATGGCAATGACACCTTCGTGGTGGGTGTCTGTGAAACCCTTGTGTCCAGGGTTTCCACCTCCCTATTGCTACCTCGTCTGGCCTTTGAGCTAGTGGCACAATTTCATGTTTCATTAGGCTGTTACCCTTAGCGGAGCTATCAACCTGTGCGTCTTGTCTGCTGTGGCCAGCAGATTTTTGCCTGTGATTTTTGCCTCCTATGCAAAGGTTGTATCTGGAAATAAAGCCCATGCAACATACCACTGATGGTCACGCCATGTGGCCCTGAGCAGCATGCCATCGCCAAGGAGGCAGGGCCACAGCTCTGTGCGGGACTCTGTGGAGGGCACCTCTTTGCTACAGCCGAGTCGGGAAGGTTTCTGTTTTTCTCTTGAAAAATGTTGTGGGTTTTTTAGCAATGGTTTTAAAAATCTATATCTCATACATAGCAACTGATGCAAGCATGTTAGCAGAAGCCATTTTTAAATCAGTTTTCTTACCCAGGGGAAATGTAGTATAGACAGGGCCTTCAGGAAACGAATAATTAGGTGACCTTTTTCCCCCCAGAATATCAGGTCTGTTTTATGTAGAGCTGTTTGAAGTCACACAAATTCTCATTACTCTCCAAATCTCTAACCTTGCCTTGTTGAAGATACCTTTTAGGAAATCAAATCAGTGTTTCAATCTAATTTCCAAAGGCATTCAAACACATGGTATGTGTGCTAACTTGTTTCCTCTAGCATTAACAAATCTAGCAAATTGCCAAGCTATTTGCCTTGAGGAAAACTATGATGTTGTACAAGAAGATAAAGGTTTTTTTTCCTCCAATTTTTAACATTAGAAAAAGAAAGGAGAGGTAAAGTTAACAGACCAAATTAGTGTAGGATATAACTCCTTTGAAGGAAACGGTGTTCATGAGTAGATTGCAATGTTTTTTGATCTGTTCTGAGACTTTTTAGTCACACTGTGATCTTTTTCAGTCACTTGATGTGGCTGGATGGTGACTGAGTCCCCTTGGCTCAGATGGACTTTCCTTGAATAAGTTGCAACAGAGTATATGAAATATGAGAGTAGAAAATGGAAGTGGAGATAAAGAATTTGAGGAGTATATAACCCTCAAATTTTAAGGATTTGATAGTGCTTATATTTTAAGGAGAGGCTGTGTGTACGTAAACCAGGCACAGGGTGCATGCAGTGCAAACAGGGAAGCACTGGATGGCCTGAAACTCCTCTCCTCTGCCTTTACCACGAGCGCACCACTCTCCAGGGAAGCCAGTGCCACAGAACATTTAATTTTTCAAGTAGGTGTCAATAACAGAAGAGTTTCTGTAATGCTTAGATGTTTAATAAGCCAAAAGTACTTCAACAAACTGCTTTTTTTGTGCATCCTACAGCTCCGTGATAGTCTCTTCTGCTTGTCCCAAGAAAATGAACATGCAATTGTCCTTTTGTTTGGAAGGCACCAGAAGGTTCTTGTTTGAATTCGTGATAAATTTGGTTGCAAATGCATGTGAAAGGAAAATTGCCAAATGCTTTCAGAAGATTTTCATTTTGCTCAAGTGTTCACACTGTGGCCATCACTATGGTATTTGATAGCAATCCATTTTGTTGTGTGCATTGCAGCTTTAACCTTTCTTTGAAGGGTCACACTGGCATATCTTTTTTTACTGTAGTCATGGAGAAACAACAATTTTTTATGTAAGTTGCTTTCCTCTACTGTGTTTTCTTCGTTTTGCTGTTTATCCAACTAAACAATATCAGAATCTTTTTGACATGTATGGGTATCATTTTTGCAAAGGATCAGTGACCCAGCTTGATAAATTTAAAAATTCAGCAATAAACCTAAGTGTGTGACATTTATTGAAATTCATTCTTTTCCATGGAGCTACTTTCTTTCAAAAATATTGAGAATAGTAAGGGATTGCAGCTGCAATTTGATTAAATCTACAGTTGTTACCATTTGCCTTCTGAAAATTGATTCCCTCCCCTCCCTGTCCCCCAGCTTGACGTGATTATTGATTAAAAACTCTGCATTGGCCTAAGCCAGCATATATTTGTTAGTGTTTGTGTGCTTCCCATGCAAGTTCGGACAGGCTTTCAACTGTGGAAGCCAACTCTATTCCTAAGCTATTGGAAATGGTAAGGTTCCTTAGCAATTGTTTTAAACTATATGATGACACATCTTTGAACCCCATTGTACGAAGGAAAAATACCTTCTGACTGGAGAGTGATTTCCTGTTTATGTGTGTGTTTGCTGGAATTAAGCCTTCCCCTGTGTGTTGGCCGAGTATTTTTTTGTAATCCAAAATGGCAACATGGCAAGTCACCTCCAGAGTTTATTTCTTGGACAGGATACAGGTCTTTTATTTTCAAAATAGCATGATTCTGCAGTTGATGACGAAGCACAGGGGCCTCTCAGTTACACTTCTACAGGCAGACTCAGTTAATTGAGGTGGCACAGTTATAAAGACAGCTAGATTTAGGCAATAAGTAATTAATTTTTATTGACAATTTTATACAATGTAAGTTGTTCACTTCCTGCACAGGAGAATTTTGGCTTCAGGCAGATTTTCTTTCAGCATAAGGATATGAAATTTGCCAAATGTATAATTTATTTTGTATAATGGCTAGATTCGTAGCTTTGATTGTGACTG